CCACCTCTTTGCGTTATTTTTCTTCCTTTTAAATAATTTCACTTAGGGACTCGTATATATTGTATAATAATGTTAATTCTTATTTTTTATTAAATTTATACACGAGAATTCTTATATTATTTTAATAGATTACGAAATATATATTATTTAAGTGAAAATAATTTTTAAATATAATTTCACATTTTTCTTTTTTTTTTGCAAGTTAATTGTGTGTGGGTGTGTGTGTGTGTGTGTTTAGTTGGGAAAAAGTAAGATATTTTTATACCGAATTTATGGAAACTTATTTAGATTTTTATCAATAATTTTGTTGGATAACAAAATCATCTATCGTAATATTAAATGTGATAATCATATAAATGGATTTTTTTACTTTAATTGTATATATATCAGTAAATGACAAAAAGATTAAGGCATGCGTTAAAATGTGGAACATAACCAGAAATAAGAGGGTTGCATTTTCCTTTTTTTTTTTTTTTAAATAAAGAAGGAACGAGCGATGAACGATTTGACGTATAAATAAGCGAGAGCAATGTAAAAAATATAAGTGCAATTAGATTAAAATCGTTGATAAATAATAAAAGAGAGAGAGAGAGAGAGAAAAAAAACAACATAGGAAAGAACGTTTAAAGATTGTAAAATAGTTCAACTCGAAACTGCGACCGAGATAAACGTGTTGGTCATTAACGTTTGTGTATATACGTGTGTATATTGTTTTTTCTTTTAATACGAAGTATATAAAATATTGCATTTATTATTAGCAATAATTGCATGATGATAAGCCACGTGAGTTAAGTTATTTATTTATTCATTTATTCATTCATTCATTCATTCATTCATTCATTTATGAGTTTATAATTATTTTGTTATTGTCATGAATATTTTTTTACGATCGTTCGGAAGAAATAGTAACATTCGCGGATAGAAAATGTTATCGATTCGAATAAAAATCGTAAAGTAAACGTTTCACTGTATATCTAAGGAAATAAGATAGGAATTTGGGAGAGGGGTGGAATGGTAAAGACACGATCAAAACCCGGTTGTTCCTATCACATTCATCGAAGAGTTTGCGAGCACGGTGGAACAAACTCTATATCGTTTACGTCGCATGCCAAGTAATGGAAAAGAAGATAAAGGACAATTTGTGGATAGAAGACACACTTGCACACTTGCAAAACAAAAAGTATAACCGCGTACACTTACCTCTTGTAAAAACGGTCCCAACGCGTGTCTGTCTCTTTCTCTTTCTCTCTCTTTTTATTTTTTTTATTTTTATTATATGTTCTTTTTTTTTTTTTTTTCGAATTTGTCCTCCTTCTATCTTATTTATTTTTCTTTTTCCCTGTCTCTGTCTCTCTTTCCTTTCCTTTCCCTATATCTCTTTCCTTCTCTATTTCGTTTCTACGCAGACATCTAACGTACTCCCAGGTGCCCTCTGAGTTTCGCGGTTGGACGACGAAAAGTCCAAGTTTCTTTTTTTTTCTTTTTTTTTTCGCACGGCGAGAACAACGAAAGCAAGCTGAGAAAAAAGCTCTCTAACGAGAAGAAACATCTTCTTCTCTCTTTCTCTGTGTTTATTCGGTTCTTGACTCTCCAGTTTCCACTTTTCGTCTCCCCCTTCTCTCTCTCTCTCTCTCTCTCTCTTTCTCTCTTTCTTTCTTTGTTATTATTATTTACTTTACAAATATTTGTAAGAATTTGTTCGTTTCGTTTTGTTTTTATTTTTCTTTCACGGCATTCGACCGACTCGTTCATATAATCTCGTAAGGGTGTGGTTGGTCCGTAGTTTATTAATTATAAAAAAACAGGAACCATCCTCGTGGTCGGAGACCGCGAGAAAGGAAAATGCATCGCGGCCCGTCCCTGGGAGTAGTACCACGCGGACAAACATCAAGGCAGAAACTGCGATACGTCGGGCAGAATACGACGGCTCACCCCGGACATCCCCTTACGTGCCGGACGCATGCGTCGTTTTGAAAGCGTGCCCGAAACGACCCCTACCAGATCCTCCAACTGGCTATCCTCCCGCTCGGAACCTTTTACTTTTCTTTTTTTTTTACCTACCCCAAAGTCCCCCCAACTTTTTATTTTTTCCTTCTTCTTCTTCTTCTACTTGTCTATCTTTACCTTCTATCGTTTTCTTCCTTGGTATCGCTTTCTTCTTCTTCTTCTTCTTCTTCTTCTTCTCTTTCGCCAAAATCATCCCCATCGAGAAATCCTCTTACTCGAAGATGAAACTCACGAAAACCGAGTCACGTTCGTTCTCCTCACGTTCAAAATTCGAGACCCTCGTACCGCTATTCGATGAAAACGAGACAAAAGACTGAAAACGAGATGAAAATTACGCTACGTGAAGGAAAAGTGAGTTTTACGAAGATAGAAGGAGAGAGAGAGAGAGAGAGAGAGAGAGAAGGGGGTTGTGGGTAGTTGTTCATGGTGAAGAAAAGATGGAAGATAATGAAGAAGAAGAAGAAAAAGAAAAATAAGATAGAAAAGGACACAAAAATGAATGAGAAAAATTAAAGTAGAAAAAGAAGAAGTAAAAATAGAAATAGAAGAAGAAGAAGAAGAAGAAACGGTGAAAAGTCTTTCGATCGGCTATGAAATCTCGCCTGGCGCGAATTCGTACGTGAGGGGATGATCGCGAAGTCGTCGGGGTCGTGCGCTTGCGCATGAGCCTTTCGGTAAGCGCGGAGGGGGTGCAGTCGAGGGGTATGGGGGTGAGTCAGTCAGGCCGCAGCGCGCGTTCAGAAAACTACCCTCAACGCGGTCTTAACATACTCGCCGGGAATTTTTTAATCGCGTTTTATACGTGTACATCAGTTGGCAGAATATTTTCTCACATGCTGCATTCGCTCAACAATTTTCATCAATTCTTGTATCTCTCCCTTTCCTATCTCTCTCTTCCTCTTTCTCTCTCACTTCCTCTCTCTCTCTCTCTCTCTGTCTGATTTTTCCTTCGTGAAGAAATTTCAAATCTGATCTAACGATTAAAAACTATATTTATTATCGTTAAAACGATATAAACGAAGGGAAAGAAATTGGATGATAATTCTGGTTAATCGATCGAATCGTTAAAATCGTTAACGAGAAGGTTTTTCAGTTTAAAAATAAAAAAGAAAGGAAAGAAAGAAAGGAGAGAAATTTAAGAGAAGAAAAAAAGATCTTTGTGAAAGTTCGACGAGAGAAGAAGAGGAGGTCAAAGGTTCGACGAGTTCGTGGCCTCTCCTCATCTGCTGGTGCTTTGTAAAGCTCTATTATACACCGACTGTCGCAGAAATGAGAGAGTTCGTGAACGTTGTTATAGGAATCGGTCGTTCTTCTTCGAATAGGATTAAATTCCTCTCCTGTCGTTTAAAGTTCTCCGACAACGTTGACATGTGAACAAAAAAAAAAAAAATAGAAGAAAAAGATAAAATTGTATTATTAGACGTTGGATTGACCGGTTAGTATAGTGAAAGAAGAGGATTCACCACCGAAGGATTCAGGACTACTGGTGGTGCTTTATTTTCCAATAGGAAAAAGATAAAAATAAAAAAACAAAAAGAAAGGGAGAGAAAGAGAGAGATAAAAATAAAAAGCACGGTAGAAAGACAAAGAGAAATGGGAAAACTGGACGTGTCGAGATTAACTTAAAGATAATTGACGTATATATATATATGTATACGTGTGTGTGCTGCGTCGTGTGTCCGTGTGTGTTCGTATATTCTTTTTTTTTTTTCTTTTTTTTCTTTTTTTTTTTTTTATTATTTATTTTCGGTCGTTTCCCATTTTATCGCGAACGAGTTTATTCGCGAGGAGTGTACGAAAAATCAGTTCTGTTTTATAAAAAGCTTTCTACGAGGATAAAAGCTACGGGGAAAAAGCTTTGAATTCGTATCAAGGAGCTACTTCTCTTCTTCCATCGTATCTCTCGTATTTTTCATCGTATCGTATCGCATCGCATCGCATCGCATCGCATCGTGAACCGAAAATTTCTCTTCTTATTCGAATTAATTTCTATCGAACAAACTACTCGAATAATAATAATAATAATAATAATAATAATAATAAACAACAGCAATATAATAAAAAGAGACAAACAGAAAGTTTATAAGAGTTTCCGTGAGAATATTTAAAAGGAGGTTGTGCTTTTCATAAGACGTTGCCAGTGTGTTGTAATGAAGAAAAATATTTGAGAAGATAAAGGGGAAAAGAAAATGATAATAGAAATTAGAATGGTAAAGATAATAATAAAGAATATGATAAGAAAAAGAATAATGAAAAATTTGATAAAATATAGAAAAGAAAGTAACAATAATAATAATAATAATCAACGTATTATTATAACCCTAAAAACGATTACCCTTTTAACGCACGAGTGAGAATTTGAGAAATTTCGCGGTCTAATCCGATGCTCGGCGGGTCCGAGGTAACGAGGAAAGGAGGAAGAAGAAGAGGAAGAGGTGGAGGTGGCAGTGGTGGAGGAGGAAGGGAAGAACTTGGTGAAATAGGAGGAAGTGAAGAAGAAGGAAGAGGAAGTGGAAGAGAAAGAGAAAGGGAACAAAGGGAAGGAGGAGGTGGTGGTGGAGGAGGAGGAGGAGGAGGAAGAAGAAGAAGCTAACCCTCGGTTCGTTCGTTTGTTCAAAATCCTTCGACGATTAGGAAGAAGGAAGAAGAGGTGGAGGAGGAGGAGGAGGAGATTTTCTGCCGGTAATAGTCGGCCGTATCGCGAGAGTGAAAAATATGGGATGGTCGTGGAATCACAGAAAGAAAGTAATCTCGAGATAATCGTTTGGTGGAGGAGGAGTACGCCAAGGTCGGCAAGAATGATGATGAGGCTTTGCTGAGGTATACCTTAAACAAAAGAAAAAACAAAAATTAACGCAATATCGGTAGGAGGGAACAACGATGATCTAAGAACGTTTTCGTTCCTTCTCTGAAGCGTCTTACCTTCTTTCGTCATTTTTCTCTCTCTCTCTCTCTCTCTCCCTCTCATTCTCTCTCTTTCTCTCTAATTCCAGTGTCAGTGAGAAGAGAAGAAATAAGTGTTATGTGCGGTTAAAAGTTATATATTTTTTTTTCTTCCCTACTGTGGTGGTGGGGTATATCAACAACAAAATCTATCCTACAAACTAAGAAAACTAAACAGAAAAATAAACAAAATAATAAAGATAGAAAGAGATTAAAAGTATTCTTTTCAATCGGAAAGGTGATAAGATCTTTACAAAGATCTGTATTAAAATAATTCGACGAATGTAAGAGAAATAAGGACGAGAATTTTGTAATCGTGAATATACCTGTATCTCGAGTTTTCTCGAGTTTGTTACCGGGGTCGACGTTTTTCCGAAAAAGCTTTTTTGAAATCGATTGTGTCGACGTTATCCCGACGAGAATCGTCGATTCTTCGTCGATGCATACGGAAAGAAGAAGAAGAAGAAGAAGAAGAAGGAGAGGAGGCGAAGAGGAGAAGTGGAGGGAAGGAGGGGAGGAACGTTAGAAAGGATGTAAATAAATTCGGGAAAAATCGAGCTATCGGTTCCTGTTGGAGAACGCGATCAAGGAACGGTTCTAACGTTAGTACTACGCGAAAAGGAAGAAGAAGAAGAAGAAGAAGAAGAGGGCAAGAAGGACGAAAAAGGATAGTGGGGGAGACTTGAAACTCGAAGGAACAACATTCGTGGCATTCCTTTCGACATAGTCGAGTTACGAAGGCGTTTTCCTTTCAAAGCCAACGTATTTACATTATACGTATATATATATACACGCGCGCACCGTATATACATACAAAGAAAGATATATACGTGTATATATATATATATATTTCGTTCTTTCGACGATGCGCGTTCTCGAATAACCGCGCGTCTCTGATTTTCTCTATCTCCCCCCTCCCCGCCCCCCTTTTTCTATCGTGTCGTTTTTAGTCTCTGCGAGTTAACAGAAAAAAGAAAAAAAAAAACAATATAAGTATTTTTTTACGAGTAACTCGCGCATACAATTGAAAATAATAACATATCCCTAATAGTTTTCTCAAAAACTTCGGGGATAGTTCTTTTTCTTCCTAACGAAGTACGAACATATGATCGAACTGATTATAAACTAACGATAAATAATAATAACTTGAGAATATAAATTTTAATCATCGATATCTAATATCTCAACTTGTTTTCAACGTTGTGTGATCTTTAGTGCAACGTGGAAGATCAGGATCGTATTCATCGTTGCTGATAACATCATCATCATCATCATCATCATCATAATCATCATCTTTTTCTTCTACTACTACTACTACTATTACTAAATATTACATATATTGTATTACGTCGTCGGGGCCCTTTTTGTGAAACGAGGGGCCAAAGTGAAAAAGAAAAGAAAAGAATAGAAAAGAAAAAAAAGGTGGTATGTTAAATGACGAGGGTGATTTGTTTTTTTTCATAGGTGCCACGCTGGGACGGTGTTGTTAAGTGTGCAGTGATCACGGGTGACCGAGGAAAGACGAGAAAGAGGGTGGTCAATATGACTCCTATCTTCCTCGTCCTGTTGGTGGCAATCGACCCAATTATCGCGCAGAATGGTGGTGAGTAATCGACCAGAGAAAAATATTAACTACGTTTATAGAAAAAGACTCTTCTCCGGGCAAGCGACCAATAATACAACGAGTATTATACGCGAATGGACTGAAATGACTGATGATATTGTGGACGATTTATACAAACTGACAATGATTTTCGAACTGATTTTTCAACAACAAAAACTCTGATGTGAGAGACATTGTGAGAACATTATCGATAAAAACAACGACCAACAACAACGACACCGGTGTCGCGAGTTTTGTCGAGAAGAGTCGCCGAATCTTATATTTTTTAACGAAATATTATTTAATTATAAGTTTGTTTTATCTTTTTTCTCGTTCCCCATATCGTTGCGTTTTGCATGCTAGTCGTAAGATTCGTAATCGGTATATACGGTTTTTCGATCGCTTTCATTTTCATTCGATTTTCATGGTTTTTGTTTTCTTTTTGTGTGTCGAGCGTGAAAAGGAAAGGAATTCAAAAAAAAGGAAAAAACACAAAGCAAAGGCAAAAGAGGACTATAAAAAAAAAAAAGAAAACAAACAAAAAATTCGACTCCTCGTTGATGCACGTGGAAAAGGACAAATTCGTAAATCAATCGGTTAACGAAGAACACAGTGGTGGTGTGTTCGTCTCGCGCTTAGTATTCGACAATACTGCGACTTTTTATTTATTTCTTTGTTTTTTTGTTTTTCAAACGTACGCCGATCAGTGGTCCGCGTTTTGTTTATTCGACGATTACTCGAATGGTAAAAAAGAAAAAAAAAAAACTATTCGCGAAAGAATCGTATTTGTTGTCCGTTCGACGAATCCTGATGTCTTCGTTAAAAAGTTGTAAGCACGGACGAAAAAACAATAAAAAATAAATCCTCGCGCTGAAACGAGGAGAAAAGGAACGAAGATATTCCGAAAAGGAAGATTGTGTGTGATTCCGTATATGAAAACTCGTGGGAAATGAGTTTTCTCGTCCAATGGGAAACACACGAACGAACGGGCTAAGGCTTTATGAACTTTAAAAATGGAAGAGACTGTACAACGATAACATAAGACGCTAACGACGAAACGAGGCAACACGCTAATTAGGCTTGGGTCTCCTTACTTTATTTTCATCTTATCTATTTTTTTTTTTTTTTTTTTTTTTTTTTTTAATAGATAAATAAAAAAGTACCTTTGGTTAATAATTATCTCTAGAATGTCGCTTTGGATATATTGTTACGGCATAATAAATGCATTACTATTTCATTAATTTTTCTTTCTTGTTACGATTAAACAAATTTGAATATGCCTAGGTTCGGTTGGTTACCATTTTTTTATTCGCTACGACAAAATATTCACTAATCGAATGAAAGTTCCAATACGATTGATTAATGCAAATTTAAAATTTTATCCTTAAACATAATGCAACCGATCTAAATTAATTCAAAACTTTATCACCATAATAAGAAATACAATTCATAAATATTAATGCACGAAAATTAAACAATAATACAGGTAAACGCAAATTACGAATCAACGTTGTTGCAATTAATTATTAACTTACATAACGAATTTCTCGTATATTATTTAAATGAATCTAATTAAGAACGAGTTGTAAAAAAAAAAAAAAAAAAAAAAGGATGAAAAAATAATCACCGTCTCTCGATTTTAAAGTAAGTAAGAGAGAGAAATTTGAAACTTGGAATCAGTTTGGGTTGTTGCGATCATTAAGCGCTAATCTGTCGCGGCAGTTGGCTAATCCAGCGGAGCTTTACGCCCAGTCCCGTAATGACGATGATACATCCCCCTACATTTCGGTCAATTAATTACGTCGCGTCCTAATCCTAATTCGATTGTCGGAAAGCCCACCAAAACCGGATTTCGATTGCTGTTCGTCGCGACCAGCAACAACGATCTAGTGCTAGCACATTACGCGAGTAAAACTGATCTCTTCGGTGAATCAGTGTTTGTAGGAAGGAGGAGGAGGAGAAGAGGATGGGATCGTTTGTTTGATCCATTGAATTTTCTATCTCGTCTTAGCTCGTCAATCTATACACCTAGATCACTATTTCACGTTCCATGTGAACGTATTATTGATACCTACGGGATGGGATTAAATTTTGATCCGCTAATTTATTTCCACTGTTAGGAAATATATCATATGGTGTATATAGATAGATTTTATGTATATTATGTATAGGATATTGTATTATAGGAAGAAAGGAAAATAGTCCATTGTAATTAATAAAGATTAATTAGATTGTTAGAAATGATTACCTATAGTCAGTAATAATAATATTTGAAAGAGAATCTATATATATATATATATATATAGATTGCCTATATATTAATTGACGATGCTTTTAACACGGATTTTGCATTTTCATAAAGCTCTCTCTCTCTCTCTCTCTCTCTCTYTCTCTCTCTCTCTCTCTCTCTCTCTCTCTCTCTCTCTCTCTCTCTCTCTTTCTCTTTCTCTCGTATATTCGATTGAAACTATATTATAAAAGATATGAATAGCTAAAGCTCGTGGTTAACCCTTTGCACTCCACGGGCGCCGCTATGAGTGACGATAGCTATAATAATTTATAATTGTATAATAATTAGTAATAGCATTGAAGGCCGTATTCACTGTGCAGTGGCATAGTAGATACTTCTGGCAAAGGTCAACAAATAGAATATTTTTTAATTCATTTGTTTTTCCCCCATTTACTTTAAATTGAATTTTAAAGAGTATATTTGTTTATATTTACGTGAATAAATATTTCTCTCATATTAGAGATTTAATTATTAATTATAATTCATTAATCGCAGTTATTTTTTTTTTTTTTTCATTAAAAAAATGTCTATAATAAATATTACCAAATTTCAAGGATTTCTAAAGCTTTGTAATATTTATCCGTGATATCATAAAAATGTCACGAAGTTGATGGTAGATTAACAAATTAGTTGGAGTGCAAAAGGTTTAGGTAGAAAAAAAGAAAAAAAAAAAGAAAAGAAGTGAGTGAGCAAAACGAAACGAAGGAGTAAAACTATCGTTCGTTCCTCTTTAAGAATTTAACTTCAAGGTAACATATACACATCTATCTATCTGTATATCTACAATATATACACGTACACTTAGGTATATAATTTGAAGCCCTGTCGAAAGTAAAACAGTCGTCTAGGGAAACCTCACGTTTCTCTCGCGTGAGACCGTCTAGAAGATTAACAACTAAAAATAATACTTTTTAAATGAAGAAGAAAATGAAAAGATTGTCACCTTGCTCTTCCTTTTTTTTTCTCTTCCTTTATTTATTTCTAATTTAATTTAAAAAAAAAAAAAAAACAAACAAAAAAGAAAACAAAAAAAAAATTAGAAAAAAAAAAAACGATATCGTAAAAAACACTTAAAAACGTCGAACACCAACTCTATTGAGCTTTCAAATAAGCAACGTATAAATAAATAGAACGAAACTCAGGGAAAAAACGGGATCGACATTCGCTTTAAAAGATTCAACCAGCAAATGGAATTATTCTCGAGTCTTTCCTTCGTCGAAAGTTAAATATACTACCAAGGGGTGGGAATAGGGGTTAGAGTTGGTATGAGGATATCGGTAAAGGGGTAGTAGGAGTGTATGTGCAATACGATGATAGAGGAACTGGCGGTAGAAAAATTCAAGCATCGCTAGCGCGAGTCGCTTTTCATACAAGATTTTTATATCAATTTGTGTGGACCCTTTTTTTCTATTTTTTTATTTTTTTTTTTTTTTTTTATTAACTTCCCTCCATCGTCGAATGAAAAATCCTTTGACATGGTACGCACATTATCTTTATCTTCTTCTTCCTTATTCATTTTTCTTTATTCTCTATATTTTCTCTTTTTTTTTTTTTTTTTTCATTTACAGTAACTGCAAAATAAATAGTAAGGGAGAGATGGTTTAGTTGGATAAAAAAAAAAGAAAAAACCGAGCCGTTTCGAAGGATTTCCATTGGTTGAAAACGAACAACGTTAGATTCGATTGGCGTAGAACGAATGATTTTTTTTCCCCTCCGGCGAAAAGAGTTACTTATTCGAATTCAATAGATTTGCCTTTTTCACAATTTTGTGTCTATTTAAGTGTGCGTGAGAGAAAGAAAGAGAGAAAGAGAGATAGAGAGAGAGAGAGAGAAAAATGTCACGGACACGAGGGAAATCCCGCGTTGACGATGCGTTTCTCTTTCCATATAAAACCCTCTCCCTCCCCCACCCCCTCCCCACCCATCCCTTTCCTCCCAGTTATTTCTCTTCGGATATTTTTTTTTTTTTTTTTAATTTATACGCGTTCTACAAGTCGAATCGATTGGTAAAGTCTCATCGAAAATTGGTATCGGGCTAGGAGACAGAATAGAAAGTGGCAGTTTTATGTTACTACTGTAGAAATGGAATAGAAGAAGAAGAAGAGGGGGAGGAGGAAAGGAAACCGCAAGATAAAAAAAAAAAAGAAAAGAAAAAATGGAATAGAAGAGAAAGAAAAAGAGAGTGTGAGGATGGAATCCATAGTTAATGCGGATCCGTTCTGTCCGCCCTGTCTGCCTCGAGGAGAAGCGAAGCAGTTGAGGTCGACTGCGAAGATTTCCTCGGAGGCTCTCTCTTTCTCTCTTTCTGTCTTTTTCTTTCTTTTTTTTTTAGCTTTCGTAGAAACGCTCCTAGACAGACGTCTCTTTCTCTCTCTCTCTCTCTCTCTTTCTCCCTTTCTTCCCTTCTTTCTTTTTTTTTTCTTCTAGTATTCACCTGATATCAAGACTCGTGAAACATGACAATCGAATTGGATTGTTGTTACAAAAACGTGTAATTATTAATAATCATATATTATTTAACTGTTATCGGTCGTGTTAGCTTTTCTTTTACTGTGATTCTCATTAAAGTTTTAATTGGTTTTTTGTAAATATGTAAAATACTTTGAAGTATCGTAAGAATAATTTTATTGTTAGAAATAATATGTATTCTTTTTGAATTAATAATTATTCAATTATTAATAATTATTTATTAAGAGAGCGAGTTTTTTTT